AGAGGGATTTGTTCTAATGGTGTTTGTAAATAGGATATCAAGTCCGCATCTTGTACAGCAATTAACCACTAGGAAGAATGTATGCAATTGTGTTAATTATTGAAACTGTCCTACCAATTTGGTTTGAAACTGTCTCATTGCTATTTGTTTCTCAGTAAAATTATGGGAAAAAAAAAACTCAGTGGCATACAATAAATGAATATGTATATGCATGACTTGATTGACCTATGCTGGGTATCTGCTAAGGTTAGATGGCTTTATTCATATGAATGTTATTGTCTCCTGGGAATCAGATTATCTAGCTTGAAAGCAATTGGGAAACTAGTCTTTGCTTTACATCTCTACCACCCTTTCCAAGAACCAGTGGAGTAATCTAAACATTCCTTCCCTATGGAGATGGTACAAGAGGGCAAGTAGAAACATGTGAAGGCTTTCACAGTCTAGGATTAAGACTAGCATGCTGTGACTGTAACTCCACCCTAGTGGTCAAAGCAAGTCACATGGAGAAGCCTAGATTCAAGGAACTGCAAGGAAATTTTACCTCTTTAATTGGAGGAATAGTAGGTCACAAGACAAGAGACATGTATATGGGAAGGAGTGAAGAGTTGGAGCTATTAATTCCATTGACTAACGTACTAATGATAGTACTTATGCTGATTCCTTTCAGGCCTGAGTTCCCTCTTTCCATGCTGCAAAAGAGACAAGAGAAGGTCACCCTGGGTAATTTGGTGGAATCTGCGGAAAACCAGCTACCAAATAGTCAAACACAGTTGGTTTGAGAGCTTTATTATCTTTGTGATTCTGCTGAGCAGTGGGGCACTGGTAAATTATTATGGTCTTGTGGGGACATTGGGTATCAGCCATCTGGGGCTCCTCTGATGGGTCAGTGAATGTGGGGAGACTAGTCAGAAATGGGCTTTTCACTGCAAGTTCCTTTAACAGGTGGAGTTTTGCATAATTTCTATAGTCACACTGCAGCTATGAAATCCCCCTGCCAAAGATGCTTTTACCTATGGAGACTACTTCAGAACAGTACTGTAAAGTGAATCCAGAATCTAGCTCTTGATCCCTGGCCTGTATCCCTCATCTTATAGGATTTCTCTGCTCTTCCATTATGCTTTATGTATTTCTTCCTTTAGATAACAGTATTGTACCCTGCTATCTTAGTTATTTTTCTCTTATTGCTGAGAGAAAATAACCTGATGCCCAAAATTAAGTAGAAGAGGTTTATTGAGTTTGTAGTTTGTAGAGGTTTCAGTTCATAATCATCTGACTCCAAGAGAGGGTGGTATGGCAAAGGGGCAACGGTTCATGTTTGTGGAAGACTGCAAAAGCAAAAAGAGCCAAAAGGGGGAGAGTGAGTCTCTTTCCTTTCCTTATATTGTATGCAGGCTACCTACCCTAGCATGGGTGTAGCATTCATGCCACTTCTGTGTCCACCTTTTGCATGGGGTGAGGATATTTACAAAGTGAGGACCCTGGCTTCCTGCTGAGTTGCTTAAACTTTTAAATTTCTCAAGTTGATGCAATGAATCAATCATTACATCTTAGGGCCTAAAGACTCAACCTAGGGCATGTCCTCTCCACCCTAGGATGTAGAACTGCTGAGTCACTTAGTAAAGCTTCTAGACTTCTCAAATTCACACAGTGTATCAACCATTGTACTCATTTCTTTTGAAGATCATAGTGCAGCTTTCTAAAAGACAAAACATTATGGAAGGGGGCTACAGGAAACAGATGATGATATAATTAGTTGCTACTGTATTTCCTATCACTCATGACCTCTTGAAAGGTAGGAAAGGAGATACTGCTTTACACTGATTTTACACTGATGGTCTGAGTCCTGAGTCTCAGTGAGGTTTAAAAATAACTGTTTCCACAGATAAATAATTATAAACTCCTTCCCCCTTTCCCTTCCTCCCTTTTTTGTCTTTACTCCTTTCCCTTCTAGCTTGTGTCTCCTCTTAAAATGGTCATAATATGGAACTAATCCATCTTACTATTATGTTAAATGAAAAGTCTCCCAGTTTCTCCTTCTTTATTTGGAGACAGATCAGCTTTCTAAAACAAAAAAGCAATTGTCTCTGGAGCCACTCAAAAGACTTCCCTTAATTAGTTTTTATTGCTAGTCAGGAGGTAGTTCTTCTCAATACATGAAGCTTCTGCAAGTCGGTAGGAAAGCAACAGTACTGTTCAAGGGCACAGACACAGAGGTGTAGTATCATAGGGATAAATTTTTGACCAGAGATGTGGCTGATGGTACACAATCCTGTTCTGATTTGCCTTCAGTGAGGCAAGTGTAGGCTGGGCCCAGCAGTACTGAACATAGAATGTAGAGGTTACTGAGAGAGATTCAGCCCATGTCACTGTACATATTCATAGAGAGACACGAATAACAAAATGCACTGTATTGGTCTGTGGCCTAGAAGATCAGATAACCTTACAGGTGAGTCGTGGACCCTTCCCATACCCGTCAAATCAAATTCTACATTGTATGATTGGTTTGAGCAACTATGTAATAAGGAGAGGCTTGTGGATCTGGAAATGGCCTAATCATATAATGAGAGCTCCAAAACTCAGTTGTTCAGCTGGCTCATTCATTGAACTAACTCAGACTTGATTAGCTAGACTGTTGCTAAGCTAGCTGGCACGCTCTCTCTCTTTCTCTCTCTCTCCCTCTCGCTCTCTTTCTTTCTCTAGAATCTATTTTTTATTCTGGATTTTTCTCCATGTGTGAACAATATGACTAATCTATTAAATCAAAAAAGTAACTCACTGATAATTAAGCATAAATTTCTTCATATAGAATTTAAAAATAATTTAATTATAGACCAAAATGAGATGAAAAATGAGTCTTTAAAACAGTTCAGATTTGTCTGACCCCAAGAGGCAAATCAACAATGGACTCTCCAAGGTGATCAGGAGGATGAAAGAGATGGCCTATGCTTCTGAGTGTTTCTAGAAAAGTTGAGAAAAATTGGAAGAATTAGTAAGACCAGGAAATGGTGCAATGATCCACTAGGAAGACTTGCATCCCAGGGCAAGTGATGGAAACTATGAGATCATAGGGGCACAGGAAATGTAAAAGTAGGAGTTTCCATTTTCTATTTTCATTACTCAAGAATTGATTCCATTGGAAAATTCTAGATCACTTTAATACCTTTTGAGCAAAACCTCATCACTAGGAGAAACACTAGTTTTTTTGTTTTTTTTGTTTTTTTTTTTTTAAAAAAAACATAATGAAGAAAAGTAAAAAGTAAACAAGGAATTCTTTGTAAATATCCAACCTGGCCTATGGTTATGTTTTGTTGTTTCAGGTATTTGATGATATTCGTCTTCCTAACAATTCCACCATCAAAGCATTACTAAATTGTACTGACAAAATTTTCACGTCTATTTTTGTTCTGGAGATGTCTCTGAAATGGGTGGCCTTTGGTTTTGGGAAGTATTTCACCAGTGCCTGGTGCTGGCTCGATTTCATCATTGTGGTTGTAAGTTTACAGTCTACGTATCCCAAGAAGTTTGGAGCAGAGGGTGGGGGAGAGGATTTATTATAAGGGTTCCGCTTTTTCTGTGTCCTTGTATGTGCACCTCTCCAAAATGTTTTCTTGTTATTATTACATTTACCACTTCAGGGTAGATGTAAGTAGTTATTATTTATCCATCAGTTTCCCAGCCTCTCCTGGGTTCCTCTCACACAATGCTGTTTCAGTAGATTGTGCCAGCCTTTCCCATGATGTCACACATCTTCTTGTCTCCACAAGTACTGCCTATATCAGATGTTAATGTAGAATGACTTCGAGCATCCTCTATTTTCCCTTCTCCTTCCAACTTTCCTTCCAAGCATCAGTACCTAGGAGCTCCAACAGAACTTGAAGGAGGGAACAGAAGCACTATTTTTGTGCTTTTGATTTCTCAAAGCAGGTCACCAGCCATCAGTTTAGACTTGTCCCAATCTTGATTTTCAGGCAGTATAAGAGGATAGTTCACATACAGCCTCTCATTTAATGTGTACAACAATTGTTCATAGGACTGGTTAGTTGTGAAATTGGAATTCCTCCCTCCCTCCACCTCTATAACACTAAAGTTAATAGTAGTGACTGTAGACCACTATTTATTTATTGAGGGCTTTGTCTTACCAGAAACTTCCATAACCTCCACATATATCCTCTCTTGTAATCACAGCCACTGTTTATGGTAGTTACTCTAGTTTTTCCCGTATTCAAAGGGAGTAAATAAGCCCCTAAGAACTAAAGAAGGCTTAAGAATGCTCAGCCATAAATGGTAGCAATAACACTGAAAACACAGAAAGTTCCAGAGCCAGATGTGGTAGTTTATACCTGTAATCCTAGTACTCAGGAAGCTAATGCAGTAGGATTGCTGCTAGTTTGAAGGCAGCTAGAGCTGAATAGTGAGTTCAAAGCCAGCCTGGATTACACAGTGATTATCTCAAAACTAGACTAACCAAAATAAACTCCCCCAAAACAAAAATCAAGATAAAAACCTAGTAAGTCTCATCCCAGAGTTCTAGATTTGGGCATATATCTTTCTACCATGAAATAATTAAATTTTTTCCAAGATAGAAAGTAGAAAAATAAGTGCATGAATATAATGCAGTGGGGTAAACTTCTCTGAAAAATGATATTGCTGGTTGACACCAACAGGGTATGTCGTTCCAGCACTGTAGAAAAGCATCAGTGTCTAGGAACTCCAATACAACTTGAAGGAAGGAACAAAAGCACTATATTTTTGTCCATTTCCAGAGTGCAAATAGCTCCCACCTATTATCTTAGTAAGATGCAGTGAAAAGCCTGTAAGTTAATGAACTGGAAATCTTGAGAATGCAGAACTGTTATTCCAGATAGGGGTCTTTGCTTACTAAGTGTTATATAAACCCAACACTTAGGGTTATTGTTGAATGGGCCAATGATAGTGCAGGTTCTTATGAACAAGGAAAGAGTTGTCAAACATACACCCAGTAGTAGGGAGCTACATTTATTGAAGATCATGAAAAATGGAGCAACGGGAGAAAAAGAAAAGGGCCCGATAACTCAGGCTTTCGGAATTTAGAGGCTAGAATTGCTTTTTGTGCATCCAACCGAATTTCTAACTGGTACCTAGGGCATGGTGATCTCTCCTAGGCTTTGGTTCTTATTTTTATTTTTTACCCCTCTTAGGATGGTGGCTGCAGGGATAACATTTGGGTGCTGTTTCCTATTAAATGGAAGGAAGACAGCGACTCTCTCCGCTCCTTCTTTTCTAACTGAGCTATTAGAAGACTCAGTTCTGAAGATAATTGGTCATTGTAACCTTGAGCAAAACCATTTCTTTCTGTCTTTTTGCATCAGTTTTTTCATTAATAAAAACAAGGATTGTAAATTGACTAAATCAACCACATATAAAATATAAATATAGCAGTATCCCTTAAAATATCAAAACAGTAGTCCCAAACCATACTGCTACAAAAGGACCAGTACCAGAAGGTTTTATGGCAAGTTTTACTAAGCTTCCAATGAGTGGTTAACCCCAATCTTTTTCTTTTTCTTTTTCTTTTTCAAGCAAAAAATCTTTATTGTAAGCATTCCCATAGTGACACTCCCTCCTCCTGAGCTGGATCCTAGCTAGGGAGGCTGATGTAGGAGGTCACAGGTGAGACCCAGCCTGGACAACTTGGTGAGACCTGTCTAGATTTTTTTTTCAAGGGCTGAAAACATAGCTCAGAGCAAAAACTCTGGGTTCATTCTCTTTTTAACAAACAAACCAACCTTCTAAACCAGCTATAGGCATCATTAAAATTTAAAAGTATAACTTTTAATGGTGTCCAGGTAATAACATTCCCTTTGCTGCATCTGCAAAGCTGGCATCTGCCCACCGTGTGTGTAGAGATGTGATGTGACTTCCTTGGTGTTGGTGGGGAAAGCACACTGTGTTGCTTGCTGCAGCCACCTAGACTCTGAAGTACATTCTCTAGTAATCCTTTCAAAGAGAGTACTTGGGAAGCAAATCTTCTGAATTCATCAATATCAAAAAATGTTGGGGCTGGTGAGATGGCTCAGTGGTCTAAAGCACCTACTTAGAACAAGCTTAGCAAAGCACAGGGACTGCGGTTCAATGCCCCAGCACCACATGCCAGCCAGCCCTGCCCCTAGGTGGGCTGAGCTGGACACACACACACACACACACACACACACACACACACACACGCTAAATAAATAAATAAACTTAAAAAAAATGTTCTTGTTTTGCCCTCAAAATGAAATGTCAGTTTGGCTAGATACCAGATTTGTGGGTGGAAGCTGTTCTCATGCAGGACTCTTACAATGTTGCACCACTGACTCCAGGCATGTAGTGTGCTCAGAAAGATGTCTGCATCAGACAGATCCTCCTGCCCCTACAGATGACTTCTTTCTCTTGTGAGGCCTTCAGGATCTTCTCTCTCTCACTGGGGCTCCAGAATCTCACCAAGACGTGTCTAGGAGTGAGTTTTCTCTCATCCATCTTGCTGGGGACTTGCTGAGCACTGACAACCTCAAGCCTTGAGCCCCTCCTCAGCTCCAGAAAGTTCTCTTCAATTATTTCTTTAATTATATCCTCTGCCTTATTTGTTTTGTTGTATTTTTCTGGGACTTTTATCACACGGACATTGGAGCTTCTGAATTTGTCTTCTCTGATGTGAAGTTTTTCATTATTCAGCTGCCTGGACATCTGTGCTGCATCCTTGGATGCCTCTTCCATTTGGCAGGTAGCTCACTCTTTCCTCAAGTTGACCTACTCTGCAGTGCTGGTCATCTACCAAATGTTCAATTTCCTTGACATCGGGGCAACATTTCCTTATGCTTTCCATCTCCTCTTCTATCTCTCTGAAGATGCCGACCACACTTCTTCTGAAGTTTTCTTCTGTTTCCTGGATTAAGTCTGTTTCTTTAGATGTCAGCTCTTTCACCTGCACAGTCTTGCTTCTCTCTTCTTCTGTTTTCCGTGAAAACTTGGTGACCTCTGATGAAGCACTCAGATTTGCCCGTGAATATGTTTTGTGCTCATTGCAACTTTGCTGTCATGATTTTGAGAGAGTGCTCTGTTGCAAAGTCAGGTGGACAACCTCAATTCCTTCCAGATGGACAACCTCTGGAAGCAGCAGTTTCCTCCACCTCTGGCTTGTGTGCCTCCTCGGTCTGCACTGGCCCTTCCTTCTCCCAACTACCAGCAAGTTCCTCTCACAGCACTGAGGCCTCTTCTCCCTCTGTGCTTGGGTTCCTCCTGCCTCCTGCTCCTCTTCCATCTCAGAGTTTCCTTCTCCCCCCCTCCCCGGGTCGGTCTCTGGGTTTTCTTCCTCCCCCCAGATTTCTTCCTCCTTCTCCCTCCACATCCCTTCCTCTCCTCCTCCTCCTCCCCCCAAGTTCCTTCCTCCTGCTCCTCCTCCCCAGAGTTCTCTTCTTCCTTCTTCTCTAGCCATGAGTCCTTCTGCTCTTCCACCTTGGGGCTTTCTTTTCCCTCCCAATTTGAAGACACTGAGTTCCCTGCCTCAGCCCTAGGGACCTTCCCCTCTTTAATGAACAGTAAATTAAAATCATCACTAGCTGGGTCTCCAGCTCACTTTGAGGCTCTTAGAAGGTTCTCTCCACTTTCTTTGCATCCCATGATGTCTTCCTTCTCTGCATGAGTTTGCACTCTGTGGGAAAACATCTTTCAGCAAATCTTTCATGAAAGCTTTCTATCTGGCAAACCACCTGAGGTTCTGCAGGTCTAAGAATGTGTTTACTTTACCATTACATTTACATGCCAGTTCAATCTTGCATAGAAATTTGGGGTCAAAACCATTTTCTCCCAAAATGCTGAAGAATTTCCAGCATTGCCAAGGAGAAGTCTGCTGCCAGTGTCAAGGTGGCACCCCCAGCCCCCGGCCAGCTTTCTTCTTTTATAGCCTTCTCTTCCTTCCACGGGTCTGCAAGGATTCCTCCTGCCCCCATTTTCTTCCCTGGCTCTCACTCTCCAGCCTTTCTGTCCTCTCTTTCCAGAAGGTCTTCCAGGACCTCACAGTCTTTCTGTCCCTTGTTAGTGGGCAAGGCTCCTCTCACGGTTTTTCTGACTTGGTCCTTTGGAGACACATCTTCTCTTGGCCCCTACTGTGAGTGTGAGCTGAGTCTGAGTTCCTCCCCTGTTCACCTTGTTTTCTTCTGGAGGTCAAGCTTTCAGCATTTTCTCCTGTGCTGCAGTTCTCCGTCTTCTCTGCCAACTTTTTTTTTTTTTCAGAACTGGGAATTGAACTCAGGTCCTTTTGCTTGCCAGAGAAGCACTTATTCTGCTGAGCCGTCTCCCCGGCCCCCCAACTATGTTAAAGCTTTTACTTTTTGCCTGTCCTTTCTGTTCCAGTTGCTCTCTGAATTTTTCACTATAGGTCTTGTGATTTTTTTGCTTCCATAAGTTTCCTTACAAAGGTCTGCATCACCTCTTCAAACTCAAGCTTATTCCTGTCACCTCCATCTTCAGAGGCTCCTGCTGTCTTAGTGGAAGCCTTTCTTCCCCTCCTGTGGCCTTCTTCCTGTCCCTTTGCTGGTCTTGCCAGCTTGTGTTGGACCCTGGGCACCATGGCTATGTTATCAAAACTGGTTTTCTCTTTTGAAGTAGTAAATCTGTATTTGTTCACTGGGTAGACTTCTTAATTCAAAATTTTAAAAAATGTCACCTGTTCCTGCACCCAGCCATGACTGTTCTGTGCTGGACATTGCTGGGAGCCCCAATCTTTTTCAAACTGTTCCAGAATAGAAAAAGAGAAAATTTACAGACTTAATTAATGAGACAAACATAATCTTGATAACAAAATGAATATAGAACAGAAATGATAAAAAATAAAATCTTATAATTATATATGTTTATAAACCAAAGACAAGGCACTCAATAACTGTGATTCACTATTACTATCATTAGCCTGGATATCATACAGATTGCCTTGTAAATCCCCATTTAACCACTAACCAACTCCATGCCCTGAAACAAGTTCACCTTTTGCACTCAGGCTCTTTCATCTGTTATGTGGTAGATGCTGTATTAATACACTGCTTGGTTTGGGACACTGTTGTGCAGATTAAGTGAGAGAACTATTGGGAGGGTTTGAGACAGTTCTTGTTATGTCATTCAGGCCTTGAACTCATGGCAATTATCTTGCCTCAGCCTCCCAAGTGCTGGGATTACAGACATGTGCCACCATGCCTGGCTAAGTGAGAGAATTCATATGACCAGTCTTACAATGTTGCTTATCAATCAGTATTACATGTAGTGATTTTTATAATTTTGGAATAGAAAAGCATAAACCATATAAAATATGCAAATTAAAGTATCAAAATATAAAACTTCTATTTTTCCATTCAACAATACTGAAATTACAATTAAAGACAAGCAAGAGCCTGAGAGACATGCATATAGTAGATAATTATTACTTACAATATATAAAACTCCCTATAGATCCGTAAGAAAAAGACAAGCCAAAGTAAAAATGGAAGAAAAATACCAACGGGCAACCAATAGAAGAAACTTAAGTTGATAATAAATGTATAAAGAAACTCACATGACCAGTAGTGGCACAGTGAGCACACAAGTGCATTGCAAAATCAGAGACCTCTTTCACTCATGAGATTGGCAAATATTTTAAGGTTATCTGATACCTAATATCTAATAGGAAAATGGAGTATCTTAATAACTGCTATTAGTTTACATTGTGCAACAATCATGAAACTAGCTTTGCATCATTAAATAAAATGACAAATGAATCCAAAGTACAGTTCAGAAATGTCATTTTCTCTTCTATATCCAAGGAAAATTTTTGAACCTATACCCAGGAAAAAACAAAACACATGCCTGTAAGTTTCCTGCTATTCATAAAGAAATAGAAGTGGCCAAGACACTCACCAAGAGAGAATGGATCCATAAGACACAATTATTAATTTATATACTGTAAAATTCTACAACATTTGAGAAGGGCGAACTGTAAGAATGTACACAATGGATTGCAAAAGCAGTGCAGAGTGATGAGTGCAAGCTAAGTCTTACCATCCCTTTCCCTCTGGCCTGCCATAAGTGGAGAAAATGTTTGTGAGAAATGCCCGAAATAGTCTTCTAATAAGCAATGATCAGCAAAAGGCCTATTTTTAAAAAATGATAAATAACATTTTAAGTTGGTTATAAATTTTTAAATCTTGTTTGTCTGTCATATTCTCTTAATTTGCAAATATATCACTACCACACTGAAGCTGACAAGATTAGTGGGGAATGTTTTGGATAACAGTGAACTTCGACATTGGCCATTTCAGGAATATTATAAATCATATTCTGGGCAACCGAGTTACCCTTCTTCCAAAGCAAAGCTCTGAGATTCCATATAAAGGATACTGGGCTCAGCATACTGTTAGATTTCACTTAGGGTACTTGGTGTAGCTTTCCAAATCTTAATCCTGTCCCATTAGGGAAGAAGGATTTGCCTAAGAAAAATGCATTTTATTTCCCAAAATGGAGGGATGTGAGAAAGGAGAAGTGTCAGCCAACAAGTTAATTTTTCTTTGTAACTTTTTATTTTGGTATCATTTCAAACTAATAGAAAAATTGTAAGAAATAATATGAAGAACTCTTGATCTCCCTGGTTTCACCAGTTAGTAACCATCTCCCATCTGCTTATTGTTTTCATGTTCTCTTAGATTAAATTGTAAGCATCATGCATTTCACTACTGTACATTTCAGGATGTAACATGGGCATTGTTTCATGTAATTAGGATATAATTATCAAAGTTAGGAAATTTAACAATTCTTTACTAAAGCCCACAGCCATTTTCAAATTTTGTCAACTATCACAAGAGTCCTTATGATTCCATCTCTCTACAGACCCACCCTCTCTGTTCCTGCCCTCATTTAGAACCAATTCATGATCCCAATTCACATATCACTGTCATGTCTCTTTGGTTTTCTTTCATTCACATTAGTTTCTCCTTGGTCTGTCATTAAATGATGCAAGTAAATCTTTCCCACTTTATGGACTAAAATTGCCAGACAAGGAGAGCAGTAGCCACTCCCCTGCTTTGTCCTCCAGCAGGGTCTGACTTGCTACAGGGAGGCCTCTCAAGCCCTCACTGGTTCCCCAGGGCTTACTGTTGGGTTCTCCTCCCTCTAGGTCTCTGTGGTCAGTTGTGTACAGGAGAGCATCAGTTATGTGGACAAAGGGGGCTGGAAAGTATTCCGGACTCTGCGGGCACTGAGGCCTCTTCGAACCCTGTCTCGATTTGAAGGAATGAAGGTACAGTCTCCAAGTGGATGGGTTGAGGACATCCCCCTGACAGAAAGACAGACAGACTGCTTCTGAGCTAGGTTTTCATTCCTTTGCCAAGCTTTTCCTAGGGTTCTTCCCACCCAGCCCCTTCAGAATCCTAGAGCAGAGGTCTCCTGAGTCCTCAAAGGATGCTGCTCAGGTCCTGTTCAGTGACAGCCAACCTGACAGCAGGACTTGCTGTGGGGTAGGAGACAGGGTGTGATGAGTAAAGAGAGAATTTCAAGCACTCCAGCCCCATATGTCAGGCTCTCCTGGGATGAACAAGATCTTGGTAAGTCCTGCTCACCTGTGAAGCTTTTCTTCTGGTCTGTTTCCTTAAGGTGGTGGTCAATGCTCTCATAGGCGCCATACCTGCCATTGTGAATGTTTTGCTTGTCTGCCTCATTTTCTGGCTCATATTTTGTATTCTGGGAGTAAACTTCTTTGCTGGAAAGTTTGGAAATAATACCAGAATTATGGAAAATGACACATGTTCTGGTGAAGATCGCATCCGGCCCGCCCTGAATGTCAATTTTGACCATGTAGGGATGGCTTACCTTGCTCTGCTACAAGTGGTAAGTGCTGTCAGTATATTTTTTACTTTGAGAAGAGAAAATTTGCAAAAATCTTAAATAATTTCTCAGGTAATAAAATTAAGCTAGGGCTGGGGATATGGCTCAACGGTAGAATGCTTGCCTGGCAAGCTGGAAATCCTGAGTTCAGTCCTCAGCACCAAAAACAAAAAATAAACCTCTCCTAAAAAACAGTTCAACCAAAAAAAATAATAAAATCAAAAAAGACTAAAATTAAGCTAATAGAATCAAATCCTTATGTAGGAGACAGGGTCTTCTGAAACTGTTCTTCACAGAGCTTCTCCAACTTTGTTGGACACTGAGCCCTAATCCTCTAGTGATGCCCTTTATGGGTCTTCACAACTCCCCTGTCTTCTGTGGTACTTTGCATGCTCTTCAGAGCCCCAGCCAGACAGGAACAAAGTGTGAGGTGCAGGCCACTGCGAACAATTTCCCCACTGAAACAACAGTGGCCTGTGTATTGCTCAATTTGGACCTGACCTTCCCAGCCCTTTACCTGTTTACCAGCAGAGGCAGTATTCTCGGTGGAGACTCAGCTCAGCACCTTGGGGGCTGTCATAAGCAAACACAGAATGTCATAATGGAGATACAATAGGACAAAGAGTTTTTCAGGTCCCTGGATGTCTGGAGACCCCCTGAGATGCAAAACTGCCAGAGAACTTTGACCACAGATGTTTATTAAAATCTTCCCACCTGATGTCCCTTGCCTTCTTTCCATCCCTGTAAGAGGCCCACTTCTCTTTGTTCCCTACATATGGCCATTTTTCCCCCTGTCTGCCTGCACCCAGACACGATAAATTCCATACCATGTTGCCTTTACATAAACCTAGTGATTTCGGCTGGTCTCTGCCTCTTACATTCCTTACAGCCAGGTCTTGGACAGGTCATGTGGACAGATGTGGCATCAGGAAAGAGTCTCATTTTTCCTATGATTAGGGCTCAGATTCTCTAGCAAACTTTCAGGTTTGCTTTTTTCAAAAAATGTTTTGTCTAGTACAAATTAAGAGGGAAAAACAAGCCAAGGTACCAATCCTTAAATTCTCTTCTTTGATTTTGGTTTGTGGTACTGGGGATCAAATTCAAAGCCTTCACACTGGAGCTATATTCCTAGCCATTTTTGCTTTGTATTTTTGAAACAGGAACTAGCTACACTGATAAATTTGAGTCTGATCTCAAACTCTCAATCTTCCTGCTTCTGCCTTCTGAGTAGCTAGGATTATAGGTGTGCACAACCACACCTGGCTGTATGTTCTTTTATGTGAGTATTCCTTTCTGGCATGATGGGCACCATTGTATTGGTATTTGCCCACACAACCTGGAAACCATTACAAAGCATGTGTTCACTGATAGCAAGTCTACACCTGAGTTCATATTTCTCTGCTTTTGTTGCAGGCAACATATAAGGGTTGGCTGAACATTATGCACGCAGCTGTTGATTCCACAAATGTGAGTGTATGTTACACTGTGTTCTAGAATGTTAGGTTCAAGTCAGACATAGCATCAGTACATGGGCAGCCCAAATCTTTCCTACATTATAGTTCTTTCAACCAGGGTTCCTGTATCTTGTTCCTTGGGACAAAATTATGAAATACTACTGCTTGATATATAGGACTCTAATGCATTCTCCAGTGAGACTCTGACACCACAATATTGCTCAAGTCCAGTATTCTTTCTCTGTGGTGAATGAGAAAAAAAAAATCCATGTAAGAGATGGAACCAGAAGCAACAGAATCACAGGAAGATTGATTTTTCCTTTCATTACTTCCAAATGGAGGGACATAAAGAAGCACATTTCAGAGGCTACCTGTTTTAGACTGTGAGAAATCCTTAACATTGGACTAAATATGAGTGAGAGAGACCCTCTTATGGCTTCAGTTTCCCTAAAGAGCAGTCCAGTGATTGCTAACTGCTGAATTTCAGTTAAAGAAAATGATAATGAGTCTAGAATTTAAGAAAAAAATTTTTTACTTTATGTGTTTAGTACAGGGTCTACAGGGTCTCACTATGTAGATCGGACTCATAGTGAATATCCTGTTTTCAGCCTCCCAAGCACTGGGATTATAAGGGTGTGCCACTGCGCCCAGTCTCAATCTCCGTCTCAGCGTGCCCTGGGGGTGGGACTAGCATACCATGCTGGGGATTGAACCCCAGCCACTGCGCTCTGCCTAAGCAGGCACTTTAGTCTGCTGAGCCATCTGGCCGAAATTTGAAGAGTGCTAATAAATCTAGCCTATTTTCTTTCTTTCTTGCTTGCTTGCTTTCAACAAGAAGAGGAGGGGGTGGGGCCCCTCTCTCCCTGTTTTTTTTTCTTAAATATATTTAGTACAGAGTCTACAGGGTCTCACTATGCAGATCCAATTTGTAGTGATCCTCCTGTTTTCAGCCTCCCAAGTGCTGGGATTACAGGTGTGCGCCACCACGCCCAGTCTCAGTCACCTCTCACTGCACCCCGGGGGTGGGGACAACACTGCATATTTTCTGTTTTCTACCTGGGAAAATTGAGGATTGGAAAGGAGGAAAGTTGCCCAGAGCCATAGAGTGTACAAATGGTGGGTACTGAATAACAAATATCATAAATGCATTCCAAAGATGACAGCACTGTCAACACTTTTAGCTATAACTTTAAAATGTGATCAGGAAGAAGAAAGGGAAATCATCTCACTACCTATTCCAAAATGCATAAAGCTGATAACAGTATGTGGAAACTATTCATCCATCAAGGGTTTAAATCCATAATATATAAGGAATTCAGGCAATTTAGCAACAATAAAAAAATAGTCCAACTTTAAAATGAGTAGATGACCTGAATAGACATTTCTCACAAGAGAATATGAAAGTGACCGACAAGTACATGAAAAGATTCAGCATTATTAATCACCAGAGAAATGCAAATCAAAATCACAGTGAGGTATCATCTTACCCACGTTAGAACAGCTATTATCAAAACAATACTCCAGATGCTGTACACAACACAAAGAAAGGGCAACTCTTATACACTGATGGTGGGAATGTAAAGTAGTATAGCCATTATGAAACAAAGTATGGAGATTACTGAAGAAAGTAGAAATACAGCTACCATATGGGACAGCTACATAGCTAAAGAAGCTGAAACCAGAATGTTGAAGATACATCTGAACTTGCATGTTTTTGCAGAACTATTCACAGTGGTCAAGGTATAGAATCAATCTATATGTTCTATGGTTTGTGTCTAGGTGTCCCCCCAAAGCCTCATGCAGTCATGGGGCAGCTTCTGGAGTTTGTGATTATTTTTTGTTTTTTTAGGGTGGTATTATAACATCTAATAAAATAACGCTGTGGGTTAATAGGAACAGAAAAGAACCAATAACTTAAAATGCAAGCTATGTAAAACCCCAAATAAAACCCAGAAGTGCATTTTGTATCTTTTTCTCAATCAAGAAAAAAAATTCTTTTTGAATGTTACATAATACTCTTGAGGAGATAGTTAGAAACAGTACCAGTATTTGATCCAGTTTCATCTCAACTATGTTATACCTGGATGTTTTTGATGTTTATCAAAGGTCTTTTATGGGGAAGAAAGTAAATGTATGAATAGTAAATGTGTGACATTTATAAGTAATGTTGTGATTGATTATTGTGGGTGTGGATGCTGTACCTGCCCTGGTGCAGGTAATTTGCATTACAATGTGAGGAGGGTGGAGAGGCTGGCTAGCTGCCTGAGCTGCTGCCACACTCACTTTGCTCTCTGGTCTTTGCTGCTGCCATGAAACTTTGCTCTCTGCCATGTGCTGCTCTACTTTGGAGCCAGCTGAGTATGGTCTGAAACCTCTGGTAACTGTGAGCTAACTAAACCTTTTCTTCCTTCATTTTGGGTGTTCTTAAATAATTTTTTTAGGGAATGGTCTACAGGGTGTTCAGGGTCTCACTACTAGATCAGATTGTAGTGATCTGCCTGCTTACAGCCTCCCAAGAGCTGGGATTACAGGTGTGTGCCACCATGCCCAGTCTCAAGCACTGTCTAGGTGCGCCCCAGGGGGTAGGGCCAGCACAGCAGGCCTGGGATGGAACCCTGGCTCTTGCACCTGCTTGCAGGCACTTTAATCCGCTGAGCTATTTAGCTGGCCTCATTTTGGGTGTTGGCAAAGAGAAAAGAGTAACTGAAACACTGTGTTTTCCAGATGAATGGATAAAGAATATGTAGTAATATACGCAAGAGGATATTATTCTGTCATAAAAATTAGTGAAATTCTGTCATTTGCAACATGGATGGAACTGGAGAACATTATATTCCATGAAATAAGTCAAGCACAGAAAGACACATATTGCATGTTCTCATTTATATGCAGAAGCTAAAAGATTGTTTTCATAGAAATAGATAAGAGAATACTGGTTACCAGAACCTGGGAAAGAAGGAAGGAGAAAAAATGGTTAATGTACAGAAGTGAAATTCAGTAAGAGGAGTGTCTTCTGATATTCTATAGCACTGCAGAATAACTATGGCTGACAACCATTAATTATTTCAAAGTAACTAGTAGAGATTTTGAAAGTTGTCAGCAAAAAAGAAATGATAAATGTCTGAGGTTGTGAGTATACCAATTATGCTGATTTGATCATTGCACATTATATGTATTTAAATATCACACTGTACTCCCATAAATGTGTATTACAGTGTGTCAATCAGAAATAAAAATATATTTTAAAAAATATAAAGAACTTGGATAAGAGGAATCCAGATACTTTTTTGCATATGCTGACCTGAAGAACTTGATTGGAGCCAGTTCATGTCTACTCTGAATCCTGATTGTCCATTCACACATGCATGCATGTATGCATTCAGCATATGTTGAAAATCAACAATTAGAGGGTATGCTAGGCAGTAGGAATTCATGAGTGAAAGGGCATAAGCACAGATGGAGCAGGACATGGTCTCTATGAAGGATGTATTTGTTCAGCAATGTTTAGTAGTTTTGTTATCTGAAAGATGAATGTGCCCCTTCTCTGGTGATCTTGTCTTGAGTATGGTTCTTTCTGATTATATACCCATATAGACACACTTTTTTATTTTTCTACTATTGTAATTATTAACATATATTGATTGTACAAATTAATGGGCTTCACTGTGACATTATCATGCCAGTATATACCATGTCTTAATTATATACCCCCTTCTTCTGTCTTCCTTTCCCCCATCTCCTTTTTTCCTTAGCCTCCTACCAAGACTCTGTTTTCTACTTTTAGGTCATCTTTGTTTTGGTTGTTGTTTTTTATTTTGATATTTGTTTACACAAATAAGAGAAAATATGTAATACTCATCTTCTGGTGTCTGGCTTATTTCACATAAAATGATGTCTTTAAGTTACATCCATTTTGCTGCAAATGAAAGAATTTCATTCTTCTTTATGACTGAATGGTATTCCATTGTGTATAAATAACATATTTTCTGTATCCATTCATCTGTTGATAGGTACTTAGGCTGATTTCATATCTTGACTATTATGAATACTGCCTTGATAGATATGGATATGCAAGTACCTTGCTATGTATGCTGACTTCATTTCCTTCAGATACACACCCAGGAATATGAGAGGGGGATCATATGGTAGTTCCATTTTCAGTTTTCTGAACACTGTTTTCCATTGTGGCTATACCAATTTGCATTCCACCAACAGTGTATACATGTTCACTTAGGAGATTTTCAAAAAAGAAGTGTGATCATGTCATTCCCGTCTCTCTTGAAATCTCAAATTGGATCTCTGTTGCTTAAAAGAAAAGTTCAAGTCTCCAGCCACCCCAACTCACCACCATAGGTACCACTCAAATTATGTGAGGTGAAACAGAAGAAAATCTCCCCCCAGCGACCACGGCTGTCACAAGGAGGTGATGTGGTTAATGTTGCTTCTAGATAAAATGGTCAGAATGGATTAATTTGTCTTCACTATGTATTTTTTCTTATTAAAAATCCCCAATAGGAAACAGTGAAATTTGAGGAAAAACCACTCATGTACCTTTACTTCATAGTTTTTATCATCTTTGGCTCATTCTTTACGCTGAATCTCTTCATTGGTGTTATAATTGACAACTTCAATCAACAGCAAAAAAAGATAAGTATGCGGGTTGTATTGATTTGGGGATTTCACCACTGCTCTGTAAACAGCTTCACTAGAATGTAGTTCAGATTAGGCTGCTGAGCAGAGTGGGCTTTGTGATCTTCACAAGAACAGAAAGGGGGCCTCCACCTGGAGAAGATCCTCAGCAATAAGGCTGAGTCAGAACTGAAAAATCTGAGTTCCACTGAATCACTGCTTGTACACTGTCTTAATACATGTTAGTGTGGGGATTAAACATGGTCATAATTGGACTCTAAAAGAATAACAGCATCCAGAATTAGCATTTATGACACTATACTTGTATTTTAACCTTTCAAGTGTATCTTGTTATCCACAATAAAAAGAAGGGACATTATTCTTTCAGAAAACTTGAGTTTAACGTACACTTTGCCAGATTACTTAAAGCTATTTAGAAAAATGACCAGGGAGGAGATAGGACTAAGAAGGATTATTCCATGCATTATAGTAATTAAGTGTTTCACTGATTCTTGATCTGCAAGATCTTTGTACTATGTAAAATTAAAGAAGATAAAAAGAACATTTAAATTACCTTACAATGATAACCACTTTAGACAGTGCCTCTTATCATTTTGGTACAACCCCTTCCCTGTTACCTTCTAGCTGAATCTGTCTTTTTGTCTGTCTGTCTGTCTGTCTGGGGATTGTGTAATCAAAAAGTAGTGATAATTTAACTTACCCTTCCTAGTCATATCCATATTCTATCTGTATTTTTTATTTCTTTATTTTCTTTAACTACTCTGGCTAATATTTTAAGAACTATACTGAACTTGAGTGGTGATAGTAGGCGACTTTGTCTTTTTCTTGACTTTAGTGTGAAGGTTTTCAGATTTTTCTCTATTTAGTATGATGTTGGTCATTTGTTTTTCATAGATAGCTTTTATCAAATTGAGATAAAGACTTTCTTTTCCAGTTTTCTTTGTTTTTATCATGAATGGATGTTGGATTTTGTCAAATGCTTATTCTTTGTCTATTGAGATGACCATATGGTTTTTATCCTTTCTTCTGTTAATATGATGTATTACATATATCCATTTGCATATGGTGAACCATCCCTGCATTCCTGGAATGAAGGTTGCTTGGTTAGCATGTAGGGGTTTTTTGTTTTGTCATTTGCTGCATTCTGTTTGCCAGTATATTATTGAAGATTTTTGCATCTACATTCATTAATGATATTGGTCTATAGCTCTCTTTTTTGTTTGGGTCCTTTGATATCAGGGTAATGCTTGCTACCAGGAATGAGTTTTAGACTATCACTTTCCTTTCAGCTTCATTAAAATGTTTGAGAAATAGTGGCATTAGATCGTCACTGAAGTTCTTGTAGAACTTGACAGTGAATCCTTTAGGATCCCAGCTTTTCTTGGTAATTTTATTTATTACAGTAGTTTTATTTATTTATTTATTACAGTTTCATTGATACGGATTATTCAGAATTTTTGTGTTTTCTTGCTTCAGCTTTGGTAGTTCACATATATCTAATAATCCATCCATTTCTTCTAAATCTTCCATTTTATTAAAGTACATGTTTTTAAAATAGTTACAGATTATCTCTTAGATTTCTGTAGAATCCATTGTGATTTCACCCTTTTCATGTCCATTAGTGTTTGTTTGATAAAGTTTCATATGCTAGGATTTGGTGCATATATATTTATGAATTGTTGCCGTAACCTTTTTGTCTCTTCTAATCAGTCTTGGTTTGAAATCCATTTTCTCTGCAATTAAAATAGCTACTCCTGCTTTTTTCTTGATTCTTGTTGCATGGAAACTTTTTCCCAGCCTTTGATTTCAGTCTGTGAGTTTTTGAGTTAAATGTGTTTCTTATATGCAGCATATTATTGGAGCTTGTTCCATTAACCATTTTGCTAAACTGTCTTTTGATTGCTGAACTGAGACCATTTACATTGATGGTTATAACTGCTACCAGTATTATAATATTTTCATTATATGATTTTTAGGCCATTGGTTCCCTTCTTTCCATTCTATTTAATTGCTTGCTGGTACGGTTTATATCTAGATGCCCCCCAACAAAGCTTCATGAGGTCATAGATAGCATCTCTCAGAACTGGCTAGATCTATGGCATGTCATACTGGAACAAACAGTGTCACTGTTTCTTTGTCCACTGGCTGGAATTAGTATAGTTCTGGGCAGTACCACTCAAGAGGCTGATAGTCTGAATACAATCAGAGGGAAAGATAGGCTGGCTGCTGCTGCTTGCTGCTTAACTTTCTGCCTACCATTCCTATAAGAATTCATTGGTGCCTCAGCATACCCCAAGGAGAAACAGCAGTAGGAATGAGGAAAAAATAGATAAGGGACAAGGGCTGGGTTCAGATGGTGGTCTGTTTGTCTGATGAGCAAAAGTCCCAATGAACAACAGTAGATATTTATATCTTTGCAAAGTTAGTATCAGGAGACACAAAGTTGCTCAGTGACTAATAGACAAAGTTGTCCAGGCAGGATGTTTTCCTCAAGACCGAGGTAGCGTGACTGCTTTATGCACTGAGGCCTTGTCCTGCCCTCCCACATCAGATCAGTTTCCAGCTTCAGCTGCTCCTGACATCTCTCCCTTTACTGTTTGGTTGTATGAATGATGGGTGCATCTGTGTTTGGAGAACTCCGTAGAAGACTTTTTCATTCTTGATGCCAGTCCAAAGATTTTTGATATACACATACCACAAGTTAACCCTATAGAATCCAGATATCCTTAACAGTAGTGAGTTATCAATACAGCTGGCAATTGTCAAAAGTCATTAAATGATTTTAACTTTTTACAGCTAGCATATTATTATGGCTTTACTTCTCACATCTCATGGTTACACTTTTCTGCTGGATTATTAAGACCAAGTTAAGGTGAGATTTGTATTAATCAAAAATTAACTTTTCATTGTTTATCAAGGTCAGTTAAATCCTCTCAGGATTTACCTTGGAACCATGTATAGCACCTCTTAGATCTGTCACTGTCAGCCATCTGGGTGAGTTGTGGCAATTACTTGACAAAGTTGCTTTCTGTGAATGCTTGGTTAATTTTTTTCTCTCAAGATGACCCTCTTTAGGCACACTACATCACTGATAACTTTCCTCTATAGTCCCATAATTTTCCTGATCAGAAAATCAGAGAGTCAATGAGTTACAGGATGTTGCAGCAGAGTTCTCTTATGTCCTGAGTGCTCATTGATCATGGACAGCTAGGGTCAAAATATTGGCCATCCTCTAGCCCATCTGTCTCCCTAATATATGGTCTCCAAACTTCAGTTATTAGAAACCCAGAAGAAAAGCTTAATGACATTACCCTGTAATAAAGGCAGTAAGCTTATTACTATCTATCTGAATATCAAACACCTTAGACATAAAATAGAACTATTATTTTCTAACATAATCATGGATATTCTAACATTTAAATCCTTATAGAATTTTTGTGTGTGTGTGGTACAGGGGATTGAACTTAGAACCTTGCACTTGCCAGGCAAGCGCTTCTTCTACTGAGATCCCTCCTATAGAATGTTAACAGACAGAAATTACATATTTTTACATAGGAGTTTAGAAATCAAAACCATACATAACTTTGGAGCATAACAATCCTAATGACATTTTGTAACCTACTTAAATTTCCATTTTAACCAGTCATCCTAATACAAGAAAATTGAATTAACTTATCTGAAGGATAATGACAATAACACCAGAGAAATGAGCCCAAAATCTAAATGGACCAAATTAATATTACCAAATAAAGTCTGAACATCATGAAAGGTTGATCTGAGTAGTTTGGGGCACAATATGTCTCTGTTGAATGAGGTGATCCAACTATGAAAAAATTGTCATAGCTTGTACCTCTTTGGAGATCACCACCAGGTCTGCCATTATTTAAATAGGATGTCAAAGTCAAAAGGCTGTTTAAACCCACTGTTTTTAGATTGCACTCCAATTTATATGTTTGTAAAATATCACAGCTTTTCTATGCAAATTTGACTTAGGACTGTAAAATAGGTAATCGACCTTATTAGGAATCATAAGAACTTCATGCAGTCTTTTAAAATATCCTCATTATCCAGAAAGATTTCTCCTATTACTTCTGCAATAAGATTTCTTTATGTTCTTTGTGCTCTATTCTGATTTTTCATTGCTTCCAATTAACTTCAGATTAGCTTTTTTTTTTTTTTTTCCTGATCTAGCAGCTTCTGGATCAATATCTCATGTTACCATGTTATCATGTTACCATGTTATTTTTAGTGTGCCTCTCATTAGTTGATCATCAACTGCAACCCTGTCTTCCAGGTCTGATAGTGTGTCCTCACATTTTTCAGTTCTCTACTGTCTCAGTTACTGTTCTCCTTGCTGGGACAAACAACTGACACTAAAAATGAAGGAAAGAAAGATTTATTTAGCTCACAGTTACTGGAGGTTTCAGTCCATACTCTGCTGGCTCCAAGGCATACTGGCACATGGCAGAGGGCAACCTTTCATGGCTGTGGCAGAGAGCAAGAGAGCAAGGGAGGAATAGCAGCAACAGTGGCTACAGAGAGGAAGTCTATCTCCCTTAAATTGCATTCAAGCTATCTGCCCCAGGCTGGGAGTAGTACTCACACCCATAATTCCAGCAGCACTCACACCCATAATCCCAGTGGATTATGAGTTAATCACAAACTAGAAGTCTACCCCATGATTACATGAGGCTTTGGGGGGACACGTACACACAAACCATAACATTCCGCCTCTGGGCCCCCAAAGACTCATGCACATCCCCTTATGCAAAAGGCATTTTAGTCCATCGCCAAGAGTTGTCAAAGTCCCAACAGTTTCAGCATTGCTGAAAAGTCCAAGTCCCAAGTCTCCTCCAAGATCTAAGGCAAATTCATAGCTGTGAGCCCCTGTACAAAAGAAAAGTTAAGCACTTCCAACATTCAGTGGCACAAAACAAGCATTAAAATTCCAAAAGGTACACACAGCAGGATACCAAGTGTTGGGACCAAAGCAAGTCTAGA